GAGAGAAGTCCTCCAGGACAAATGGGGATTGTCTTTTAAATGAGTAGGACACTAACTCCATTGTGAGAGGCGGGGAAAATGGGTGTGCGTACAGGTGGGTGCGTACAGGTGGATGTGTAGGTTTTGCAGAGGAAGCTGAATGGATTCGAGATTGATGACTTGTTTTCTCAGTAAACAATAGGATTAGATCACCAGCTAGGAATGAGAGGGGAAGAGGAGGTGTGAGGTGTGAGGTGTGAGGACAAAGAAGGCATGGAATAGTAATGCCAGCTAATGAGAGGGGACGCCTGTCAGAGAATCAGGATTGTAAAGCTGCTCTGTGATTGAGATCCTGTGTTTAAAATGAAAAGTCACCTCCCTTGAATCAGCTGTCTAGTTGTTTGTGTGCGGTCAGAGCTGGAGGGGGAGAGATTGGGGCATGTAAGAGGGACAGCTGAGAGGCCTCTGGAGTAGGCCTCCTGAGGCCGGATTCGATAAGGAGGGAAGGGGAGCTAACAGTCGGGGAGAAAGTGGTGGGAGCCAAAAAAATCCATGGGCGTTTGGATGAAGGGGAGGAATTGCTTAAGTCCTTAATGACTTAAGCATGTGAGCTGGGAGGAGGAGGAGGAGGCATCCCAGTGCTGCCATGCTGGGTTATGATAAGGAAGGGGGCGGCTGAGGGGAGTGGGGCGGATGGGGGGCTGAGGACTAACAGCTGGGTGTCAGATGCCTCGCCTGTGTGGTCAGTGAGGTCTGTGAACACCCTCAGTAATTGCAGAAGTCTGTGGCCAGACTTTCCTGGGCCAGAATATGAGTCTTCAGTGAAAGTGGGGACACTATTAAGACAGCGGTCAGCAAATGGCAGAATAAAGGGAGGGGTAAGCAAGCCCCATGCATCTGAAAGGCTGAGGCTCTGTGCAAGTGGAGGAGATCATGGTCCAGATGTGGCTGGAGAGTGAAGAGGAGATGTGCCCCACACAGGTGAAGGGGTCGGACCTCAAACGCAAATAAAAGGAAACGCCATTCTAAAAGCAATGAAATGCTAGTGCGCACAACAATAAAAACTTAGAACAGCAAAGAAAGAAAGGAAAAGCATAAAGATGCTAAAGTACAAGCAATGTGTCAGTGACGTATTCGTGTGGGGCTCACAGGCTGTGCTCTGACAGGAGCAAGCAGCCTCCGGAGAGGAGCTCCCGGGGAAACATGAGTGAGAAAAGTCAATAGACATGAACATAGATGTTACCGGAGTGAAACAAATTCTTCACTTATATGGGCTGAAAATAATACCTAGCTCTGATAACCTCTCATTATTCCTCTGTCCCTGGCCCCCCGACAATCCGACAATCCGGAACAGATAATAAAAACTGTTAATCATTTTATTGCTGAAAACAGAACCCTTTGGAACTTACAAACCAACTTCAAAGAGCCAACAAATGACCAAGCAAGGAACTGGTACCCAAATAACTCACCAACTTTTATGTTGGAACTTGAAGGAAAGCACCTTGTTTTAAGCATTTTCAAAGATTACCATTAGAGTTTTAAAGTATTTGTAAAATAGCAAAAGAAAAATCAGTTAAACTAAGTACAGCTTGATGATGAAGTATTTAGTAATTCTAATATAACTAAGTGGACTGTAGGCAAATAATAGATTACTGTTTTAAAAGTATTTGATGGATAGCAGGTTGATTCATTTATACTTTTGTGCTAACATTTATACTTTTGTGGATAATCTGCAACTGGGAGGCAGGTTCTGTTTCCTGGTGCTGGTAATTAGGTGGACTGGTGTATTCCATGCAACGTGAAGTAGGTCTTAGAAATACTAAAAATTCCAAAAAGGCTGGAATTTATCAAAAGAACGAGAAAATGAGGCAGTACTTTTGAAAGTTTGTTTGGGGTTTCAAATGTCTTTCCCACACAGCTATGGCCGTTTTAGCCAATGGTCACACACCTTTAACCTCCTAATAAATTGGCTGACAGTCAAATGTTGATATAAATTCAGAAATGAATTGTGTACATAATTAAAAACATCAAGTCAGAGTGAATATGTAACTTTCGAAGCTATATAATTAAAATTCTGTCAGAACATGACTTGAGTGAAGATTATGAGACTAAGAACTTTATACATGAATATAAAAAATGTTCAGGTAAAGACCGATACATAGTCCTAAATACCGACTTTTTTCCCTTATAAATGTTTCAGGGCAAACACAGTTAGATCAAGCAACTTAAATAGAGGTTAATGATGTGTAGCAGATATATCTGGAATTCAATGTAAAATAGCTCAAGATGGTATTTTGGTTGTTATTAAATAATCAAATAAATATTTATAATGCACTAATTTTTGTTTTCAAGGATCGCCTCTTTAGAAGTCAGGTACTTTGTAAACTTTCAACGCTGTTTTGAACTATGTATACATAACATTTAAGTCATTATTTCTTCTCTTTTGTTAACAAATTGATCTGAGCTCCAGCTTGCGATGTGGATTTGAATGATGATTATTCCCTTATATAGTGAAGTCTACTTCTTAGGTCTATGGGACGACCTAAGTCTATGACTCAGAAGAAAGCACCTAAAGGGAAGTCTAGAATTCTCCCCAAAAGGCAGCTCACAGAAAAGAACATGCCTTCAAAGGACTGTTAGAATGGGAGAGGTCTTAAAAGGCAATTTAAAACATTTAGGAACAAAAAGAATATCAATGTGTAATAAGAAACCCCCAAAACAAAACAATCCAATTTGAAAGTATCTTCTTATAATAGAAAGATTGGTGAATAATACTGCTATTTTTTTCTTGTATATCCCATGGTTTTATGTAACTGATGGGTCTTAATATCAATAGTTATTAAAGATGGTCACTCTGGCATTTGTTAGACAACCTGAAAAACATACTTGAAGATACCAGGATTCTCAAGAAAACACTTTTTTAATGATATGTCCTATCAAAGGAACAAGTCAACTACTTGTGATCACTCCCTTTAATTTATTAACTAATAATTGATTAATAATTATGTTTTCTTCAAACTCCTGGGTCCAAGTATACTCAAGCATATTTGAATAAATGCCCTTTGACTTTATTTCTGGAAAAACTACCCATCATTAATAGAACCCCGAAATGCAGAAGAGAATGAGATAAAAACTCCCTGTGAATGACTTTATTTACTCCTCTGCATTTGGCATGCTACAGAGCATCACAATTTTACAGTCAACAGAGTTCAAATAAGACATGTATTGTGGCTTTAAAAATATTGACATCATCTGCTAGAACATAGAGCAAAACAGCTATAGGTAAAATAGTTGTTTCCCCAACCCCCTTTGGGAAGTGTGGGAAGTTAAGTATTCTTTGATCTGTAACACCGTGGGAAACCTGAGTGATTGGGGGTAATAATCCTTATAAGATGTTGTCATATCCAGTTTTACTTTAATTAACTCATATTGACACTGGATTTAAAAAAGAGAAGAAAGTTCCTTTACCATGCAATGGTAAATTTACTCCTGACTAACAATGCTTTGATTCTATTTACATACTTTTAACCAGATAATACTGTATAGCAAACACACAGAAATGTACATTATTAAAATTTGAAGCTAGAAAAATATGCCATAGGATATAATTTGGAATCTATAAATTGGAGCATCTATAAACCAAGAACATATTGACGAATCAAATCAGAAATGTGAAGTTTACACTAGTGCGAAAATTCAGTTGGCAGTGGGATAGAGTAATGCAATGGGATTGCCTAGTACAATTTCGTTTGTGTTAACACAATATCATCAACTCTGTTAAAAGTTCCTAGTTGATCCCTTCAAAACAGCAGCAGAGGGCTGTTAAAAAAAAGTAGTAAATTCAATTCAAACTAACAGTATAGTATTACTTGACTGAACAATTCTAACTTTCCCCAGTAAACATTTTACATGTTCTAAACACTTTTTAAGGAAGACCTTTAAAAAATTCCCCCAAAGCTTAACCATGCAGCTCAGCTTAAGTAAAACATTCTAACAGAGGAGCTGTATAGTAGAGAGCTGACTATAAATGAATAACACTTAACTGAACACACAATCTGAAAATACAGCGCAGTTCCTGTCTGCTTCCCGGAAAGGTAACCTGCCACTAGAGAGGACACCTGTGGCACATGTTACCTGCTTCAACCTGGGAAGCACACGTGGCAGTTTCCCGAGTGAAGTCGGAGGTGTAGCAGGAAAGGGAGGCCTGGGTGTGAAACCCTGCACCCTCACCCGGAGGCGATACCAGTCACTATGGCGTCTACACTAAACACAGACTAGAAGCAGAAAAGTCTTGGCATAAGAATTCTAGCTGCAGCCCCATCTCAAGATTCAGACTCAGACCAAATGGGTCAGTTGGCTCCAAATGGATCCCGCCCTGTTGCCACTCTCTTATGGAATTCCCTCCCCAGGAAACATGCCCTAATCGGCCGTTTGCTGGACCTGGTGCAGCTATTAAGGTCGGAGCCCTTGGTGGCTTGTGGACTTGGCTAGGTTGCCAGATTCTTTTTTTCTTTAATGGCTGACCGTGGTCTGAATATGTGGTTAGATTTTTATTTATATTATCTGTGAAATTGACAGGGTATTTGGCACAACTTTCAAACTCTTCCCGCATACGTGAACACACATTGCACGTTCAGTTCTTTTTAAATGTTGCAGGAAGTACATAGCGAGTCAAAAAACACCAAGAGATGTTTGCCAACTGCATGTGAAGGCCAGTGCTTCTACCTGGCTGAGTGGGATTTCCCCCACATGCTGGAGAGGCACTGCAGGCCACACAGGAGCAGAGAAAGTGCTGTCCCTGATCCTCTGGGACTGACATAAGAAAAGCGTGTACCCATGCTAAGGAGAGTTCTTGCCCAACCACCCACGTCCATCTCTTTTCCTCCCTGTGGTCAGAGGAAACTTTGGCCCACACTGTCCTTAGCCCCTGGCTGTGCATTACAGATCCAATTGTCAGCTTTTTGGTGGTGGGAATCAGAGCTAACTGTCAATCCCTGAGAAGGAATGTGCTGAGACCTTGGCTACTTAGTGTACTGCACGGTACTGTACTTGGTGATTCGACTTCGGGCTGTGCTCGGGGAAGTGGATCCGAGGGTCTGGCTAAAGTGATGGTCAGAGGAGCTCCGCACATGGCCGATGGTGGCCGTCCCCGCCATGCTGCTGCTCAGGCCCCCGCCTCCTCCCAGACTGCTCAGCCCGATGCCACCACCACCCATTCCAGCTTCACTGCCAACCAGGCCACTGCCGACTGTGCCACTGCCACCAACCATCCCCGCGGGGCCACTAAATCCGGTTGCGCCAGAGCCAGAGACCACCCTCTCGGTCACAATGACATTGTGGGCATTGGAGAGCTCAGGGTGCAGACCAAAGCTGCCCATCATGCCGGAAGTTGGTCGGATGACCCTCTCTGTCACTACCACGTTGGAAGACTCTCTGGGATCAGGGATGGTGAACGTGGTGGGTAGACTTGAACCTGGTGCTATTACCCTTTCTGTCACTACCACGTTGGAAGACTCTCTGGTATCAGGGATGGTGAACGTGGTGGGTAGACTTGAACCTGGTGCTATCACCCTTTCTGTCACTATGACGTTTGACCCCTCTCTTAAATCAGGCATCTCTAGCATTCCATGCAAATCGGCACCAGAGATTGGGCCGACCACCCTCTCTGTCACCACCACGTTAGAGGCATGCCGGTTATCATGGATGTGGACAGAGGGCTTCAGAGTGCCGGAGGTGGTGTAAGACTCAGTCACGGTGACATTACCATAGCCCAGAGGGTCAGGGATAGACATGGGATGCTGAACACCGGGCCCAGAGGGGTAGGCACTCTCAGAAATGACTGTAGTGGTGCCATAGTGTGGGGAGATGGGTGGGTGGCCGCTAGCCATGGGCTCTGTTGCCTGCTGAGGGTAAATGGGTTCAATGCTCTCAGGCCAAGGGAGATCAAAATCTGGATATGATTCGACATTCTTCCCCAGGCTGATATCTGCCAGCTTCTTAAACTTAGGCCCTAGTGTGTCCAAGCAACTGTCATCGAAGTCTTCTCCAATGAAGCTACAACAGCCCACAGAGCCAGCGGGGGAGCCCACCCCTTCAATGTCATATATGAGCAGACAGTCATTGGACGGGCGTCCTTCGTCTTCATCGGCATACGCATATGCTTTCTAAATTTGCAGAGGAGAGAGAAAACGAGGTCATGGATACATATCTAACAACCATAGACTTATGTCTTAATTATTTCTTACAGGGAAAGGAAAATAGAAAAAACAAAATTCTAACATCTACTAGAGGTGTTCTGAAAATCATGGAACTGCATGAAAGAATTTGCTTAGAAGTTACTTAAGCTGTAATTCCAATGATATATTTTGATTTTTAAAATTCATGTAGGTGGACTTTGGACACAAAAGCACACACATACACACAAAATCACATGAATTATTTTGTAACCAAGGTTGGAGGAGGTACTTAAAAATGCTAAGTCTGAATACACAAAATTGTGCGTTTTCTTAAGGTTATTTATACAAGTGGGATTGGTAGGAGAGAGTGATTGGAGACGTGAGAGCAGGGGTCCATCTGTGAACAAGCCTATGTGTCATGTTAAGGAGTTTAGCCTTCAGGCCATAGGCAAACACAGCGGGGAGCAGTGGCTGCTTCTAAGTGGGGAGTAGCAACCTAGGTGAGATGTTTAGCTGTCGTGTCAGCAGCACCATAGATCATCACGCACAGAGGCTGGAGCCTAGCAAGGGGGTGCCTGCCCAAGCCCCACGGGAGCAGGGGAGGCTGGGGGATAGCAGTGGGTGCCAGACGGGAAGGAGGGCACGGGGCAGAGCCCTTACCTGGCAGAAGTAGCTTTCCATAAAGTCCATGTTCAGACCTTCTCTACATTCTCTCATAGAATTTCTTCTTAATGTTCCAGAATATTCCTGACAGATCTCAGGTCCTCCTGATGATTTAACTCCATCCGTTAGTTCAAATCCTGTTATCCTTTCTTCTCCTTCCATCTCTTGCATTTCTCTGCCACCATACTCATTTGTATAAACCCCTGAAAGTGAAGGCCAAGTTAAATTTCCTTTATCTAGTGAGCTGGAGAGGAAAAATCAGTGCCTTACTTTATGTATGGTTCTTCATTTAAGTATGCATTGTGAGCAAAGGAAAAAGGAAAAAAAGAAAGTGATACTTAAATACAGGAACTATAAATATATTTAGTTCAAAATAATAGTAATTAATTTGGTAACTTGATAATTATTGTTCAGTATTTGTTGGTAACTATATGTTGAACTAGAAGCAAGGGGCTGCATAGTGGTTATAAAAACCTATGCTTTACATATTTTTATTTAATTTTTTTTCAATTACAGTTTACATTCAATATTATTTTGTATTAATTTCCGCTGATTAGATTTACAGTGCTCCCCCAGTTATTTCCAGTACCCAACTGGCACCATACATAGTTATTATGAGGACTTTGATTTTAAATTAACAAAAATTGGGAGGGGGGAGGAGAATGACCAAATTCTAAAAGTTAAATGGTATAGAACACCCCAACATACTGTATTAGAAGCACGGGGCCCCAAAGAAGGCCCAAGAACCACGGCTTTCAGAGAGGAAGCCATGGCGACGGCGAGGGGAAAGGTCTGCATTTGAATTTGCACGTGGGTGCGGTGTGAATAGAAGCCTCACATATGCTAAGCAGAGAGCTAAAGCCACGGCCTGGCTGATGGACGTGCCGTGGACAGGGCCGTGTTGACACGGGAGGTGTCCCATGCTTTCCTGTTCTAAATGTCTTGATGCTGGGAACGGTGCATGTACACACGTCTGTCACTTTGGTGCTCTCACTGTGCCTTGTGGAGGTCTGTGTAAATATCTGTAGACTTAATGAGAGACTCAGTGTATGCATAAAGCCTGCTGGTTTGACAAGTCTTAGAATTGATTGGACATCAGTGAGCAGGAAATTACCAGTTTCTACTTTTGAGGTGTGGGGGATGTCGGTGACGTTAACAACAATGGATGCAGGAGGAGATACGGTTTTAAACACCAGCATGTCCATCCTTTGCATAAGGTCCAGTTCTACAAGTTATAAATATTCCTGTGCGTCTTACACTTTAAATAGTCAACTTGGAAAAGCCGTGATTGCAAGTTAGAGAAAGGCTGAGAGAAAAATCAGAGAATCAGTATGAATTTACCTTCAACAGAAGGAAAGATGGCACAACTCTTCAAAGATATGAGGTTTCTAAAAACCAGTTGTTCTTTTTATTGGCGTCACAGTTATTCGCTTCCTGTGACATCCTCATTCTCCCCGGGTTCTGCCTGGGACCGGATAGCCTCACCGTGCGCCAGGAGAAACCCCACCCCATGCACACCCCTTAGAGGAGAGCGCTACGAGATGTTGATAGTGTCTCAGCCACTTACTTTCAATCTGAGAAACTGGACACATCTTTTCAGGTCACATTCAGGCTGATGCTGAGAATGGATGCAGTTTTTAATTTTGTCATGATGACAGCTGAAGCCAGCATGATTCTGAACCATTCGTGAATTGTGGAGGTGGAATCTCATCTCAATAAATGAGCACAGGTCTATTTTAATAGGTTGTCTTTTCATTGTAATTAGCAATTTTGGGGTAGATAGGATTTAACCTCATGCCAAAAATGGACTTGTGGTTATAATTCAGTTATTCTTTTCCACTTATAGACATCCTAATCGGGCCATTTCCCAAGTTCTCTCTGATGATTGAAGAATAACAATTACTGTAGGTTTTCCCTTTTCATTTAGTATGTGAATTAGTCATTTTAAAAGGAATAATAAAAACAACTTTAAAGACAAGTGTAATTATTGAGAAACTGAGGTATGCAAAGAGGGAACAAAATTCCTTCTGAGTCATTTGAGTTGTTAAAATAAGAGGAAATGGTACCTGAAGTGTCAATGCATGGGATGCCTCCGGGCACTATCTGTGGCACAGGGATGGTGGTGATGATCTGCAAGATAAGAAACAACGTTTTCCCATGTATAATGACTCTTCTCTCTCTCGTTACACATTGGGTTAGCTCTCAAATCACCTCTGATGTTCTAAAAGAACATCGCTTAGGAAACATTGGAAATCCATGTAAAACAGGAACTGCCTTCAGAAAGCCTTCTCTGGTTACGTCCATCTAATTGGAGGTACCTGTGCTTTTTCTTCATTGCCCGCCCCCCCCCCCCCCCCCCGTCCCCCTGTCCTCCCCCTCCCCCGCTAGCCCAGCAGAGAGTGCCAGTGGTCACGGTCTGGTTTCATGTGCAGAAGACTGAGTTTAGGCGACTACCACAGGTCGTTTCTTACAGACTGGCACTCACCCCAGTCTCAGGCCCTGGTCCTTCCACGGCCCACGGATGGATTGCCCCTTCTGAACATTCAGGAACAGGCTCGAAGCCAGCTCCGCCACCAGGGGCGCCTCCACAGTCGCAGCAGATCAACAAGAATGGGACCACTGGGGGTGACAGGAGAGGAGTATTGGCATGTTAAAACAAAATCTTGCTTTTTGTGACTAAATTTGAATCCCTAATATAACCCCATTTGATCCTAAAATTATTATGAAGGCTACAGAAAGTGACCTGTATAATGGTGAGATGCTAAAATCAATGTGAGCTTCAGCATACTAGATTGCAACACATTTTCATTTGTTATATCAGATTCAGGCTACAAATAGTATCGTAGTATGATCACAGATTCGTCTCCCTGCTTTCTCTCATGAACATAGGGAACGAGAGAGAAAGAAAGCTGGGAGGCCAGCCCGTATGTTCGGTGTTTTGTGTTCCCTCTTCCATGTCTTTATTTTTCTCCTTCCACACATGCCCGCCTTTTTATTTCAACGGTAACATCTTGTTCATGCTTCAAGAAGTTATCCTCTTTGAGGCTCTTATTTGTCCTTAAATATCTTTTCTTGAAATTACTCATGCTCAAATAGAGAACATTACGCTGCCTCACACTGCCTTTTCCGATCAATCCGAAGTTTCTAGCCCATTAATACCATAAAATGATCTTAAGTAGCAACTTGGAATGAATGGGTGGGTGAAGAAAAGGATGTGTAAATTTTTTAGACAATGAGGAAGGAGGGAATGAAAAAAAAAAAAAAAGGAAGAGGGCAGGGGGAATGGAGTGAGGATAGTGATGAAGGAGAGGGGAATGCTGGGCTAGCCCAGGTTCCAGAGAAACAAGGCCACGTCTGTGCACTCCTCTTGGACCTGCCTGCCACTTCCACCCCCACCTGGAGGACAGCATGTTGTCCCAATGTGTTCCCAGGAATAGGTGTTAGTGAAAAAGCCCACACATAGGCTTCCCTGGCCATTTCAATCAATTGCTTCTCCTTGTCTTCTCTGCTCAACTAGCAATGGGACCTGCCACTTATGAGGCAGCCCATCACATTGAGATGGAATGCGCAAAAAGTTTTTATCTTCCACTGCCGAGCAATTGGATTTTTAAAAAATCTCAGAAATCCAGCACTAGATGTAGAAATATATTGATAATTGAACACAATACAAATTTTAAAAAATACTTCTTATCAAAAGATCAGAAAATGTCTTCCAATTTTGGGCTGGGGGGTGGGGATGGGCTGTTAAAATACTTACATCCTAGGACCAAGAATCCCATGATGAGCAGTCCAATGCCAGCAGGACCAAAATGTACGTTATCTGGAAACATGGGCACGCCTAATGGTTCTTTGTTATACTCATCTGTTTCACCACCTCCATTGATGCCTTCGGTGTTGACTTCACCAGGACCAGTACCGATTTCACCGGTAGTGACCTCAGGACCCGGGCCAAGCCCATTGTCGGTGATATATTTTGGAGTGGTTTCAGAAGTTGGCCAGTCAGAACCTTCAAGATCAATATTAATTGTACCAGTACAAGTTCTTTGAAGATCATCTGTAACAAGGGTCAAAATGGAAGAAATCATTCAAAAGTTTAGTGTAATCATTGAGGGACAACATGAAACTATTTCCTTTTTGCATCAATATTATTTTGATGTCTTTATTCCCATTCACTCAGTAACTTCCTCAGTTCTCCCTTGTTCACGACTCATTTTTAACATCCAACTGTTAGGACTGTTTGCGCTCCTGGAAAACTGTCTCGTGTAGAGAAGCATAGACAGTAAACACCACGTTGTGTCTGCATTGGCCAGTGCTGCGTTGTAAGCTCTGGGGAAGGCATTCTTAGACTACTGGTTTTTGGGGTTTTATTGCACATTTCTTATGTTAGAGCTAGATTTTTTTTTTTTTGTGGTGGCTTTTATTGTATTTCTTCTTCAATTATGTCTGTGCTTTTCCTTTTATGGGCTGGCAGAATGAACAGATTGGGAGCAAGTTAGTAAATCGTTTTTACAAAAATTTTTTTAGTGAGAAAGCAGCATATTCCCAAACTCACAGCCACCAAGCACTCACAGGAGAGGGAACTGGCGCTGTTGTAGGTGGGGAAATTTTCATTTCGATAAGAAGGTGAGACACGTTTGTTTCACAAGCAGATATTCCAGTGTGCTTTCTTCTTGTCCTTAAAAGTTTAAGTAAGTTATTGTGTTCCTTGACTAAACACGGGTAGGGAGATTTTTGATTTGTTTCAACTTAATTGCTCTGCCCTAGCTATTTATTTCATCTAGTCAACCAACCAACCAGCCAGCTAGTATTTCAAAAACAGTAGACTAATTTCTTAGTGCATTTGATACAAAAGATAGTGCATCAGAATCCATCTGCTTTTCATCAGCAGGTGCCTGGGGCTGAACCAGAGCTGTAGTAATGACTGCAGAAGGGCTCAGGGTATCACTGTGATGATGAGTATGGTTTCTATCTCATTGTGGCAATGTGTGTATTAATACCTGTCAATACCTATTATCGATATTGCTTTTGATATTTATTTTAGATAATGCTATAAGTAACATTGATGTGCATTCAGCCTTTTATATTTAGGGATTATCCTAAGGTTATTGAAACTGGGTAAAAATCAAGGAATGATTCTGTTTGACATTGTTGTTGTTATCTCAGTTACAAATATGTAAGCTCTGTTGTCAGACTTTGTCCATTGATGTAACCCTAGAACCCAGTACAATGGCTGACATTTGGTTAGGATTCAATATATAGATTCTGACTAAATGAATAAAGTCCCTGGAGTGCATAACAGAGGCAAGTTGAAATCCAATCTATGATATCAAATTCCATGCCCTTTCATCTCAGCTGATTCTAACGTTATTGGTTTTGGTCTAATTTTTCCATTTTCATTACCTGTGATATTTACCCCCCTTTTTGATGAGAAAAGGCATGCTTTCTGTTTACCATAAGCCTAACAATGTTTACATTTTCTCTTCATGTCTCCATTGAAGCTTGATGTTGGATGTAAAACTGGAGTAAGCTAGCAATTACTTGAGGTCATTTCAATCATAATAAGCTTCATCTTTAAATGGAATCATATTTCTGTTTGTGATATATGTTTTAAAACTACTCTTATTTTGATTAATTGTGGGAAAACATTATAATTGGTAAAAATTCTGAATTGTTGAATGAGTTTAAAGGAATACTATTTATTATTTATTATTTTTTAAATCTGCAAAGCAAGTGGAAATAGCCAACCCATTTTTAGGATAATGGAATGAAGGAAAAAGAGGGAGAGGGAGGGAGAAAGAGCAACTGAAGTAGCAAGCATTGCTTAGAAGAATTAGTCTCGAAGAGCTCTCTTCCTTTAGGGATCAACCTAAATTAATTTTGTTGATTTTGAAAAATAATATATGCATGATACTTCCAAATTGCTTACACAAAGTTGTGTATCAACTTACCAAAGATTATATAAAGTTAAGTTAGCTTGACTTCTGGCCTAAGTATTTGAATATAATTTTATAATACATACAATTTAAAAATTGTAATTATTTACATTAATAAGAACTAACATTTATTGAAAGTCCAAGTGCTTTACATGTAGTTACTCCTTAAATCCATATTGTCATTGTTCCATTTTGCAGGAGAAAAGACTGAGGGATTAATGGGTTAAATGACTTCTCTGAAATCTCATATCTAGTAAGTAATGGCACAAGACACCAATCCAGTCTCACTCCAGAGCTCATGGTCTTATCCATTAAATTATACTACCTTACATATCATTAAAGATTTGATTCTGTAATAGCCAGTATGATAACTTTTGTTGAAAAAAAGCATTACTTCAAAATACAGTAATTAAAATTTACATATATAAATTCTAGAAGGAAAAATGTTGAATTGATCTCTTACCATCTATAGATAGAATTGTTCCTTGGTATTTTCCATTAAGCATATTATATTGTTCCATGGTAACTTGATTTCTCAAAGTAATAATGCCCGTTTTTGAGTCAACAGAGAGCAGGTCAGCTGGATTATTTCCCATGACGTATCTGTATTTGAAAGATAATAGTATAAATTAATGTCAGCTATCTAAAAAAGCAGAGAGAGAGGGAGAGAGAGAGAGAGAGAGAGAGAGAGAGAGAGAGAGAGAGAGAGGGATTTTATTTATAAAACAGGTCTCTAGTTAGTAGTTATAATCCCTGAACACAGTTTTTAATTATTAGATACACTTTCTCCTTTTTTTCAGGGCAGTCTTAGCTATTTGAGGACATTGGGAAACAGACAAAGCTGTCATTTTAAGCAAAAAGAATGATTGAGCAGCTCTTTCCGATGGAATGTCCCCTATGCCCACTTGGTTGGCAGAAAAATCCTTGGATGCTTGCAGTCTCATTTTCACTTGGTTTAGGTAGCATGGGAGCTATCCTGGAAGACCGAATCCTAGGACTTCCTGAGCTCATTAACAGTTCTAAGTTATTCTCTCCCCAAAGAACTACGTCCTCATCAGCTTGGCCATCATCCCTCCCTATTTCCACTCCCCCTCTCCACACACACAATGACTGAACAGGACTTCTGAATTCCAAACTACGGAATCCTTTTTTGATGCTTCTGTCCTGTTTTCTGTTGTCTTCCACTCCTCCTCTTTCGCTTCCATGTCTTTTTTCCTCCCATTACATATGACACAAGAAATATTGGTTAGCAACTCTCTGTCTCAGATGTTGTGCTAAACTCAGGGAACAGAATGTGGAGAGGACACAGGGGTGGGTGCTGGGGGCGGAGGGATGGAGGTGACCTGCCCTCTGGGAGCCACATCTGCGGGGTGAGCGTTAACAGTGGTGGTGGGCCAGTGATGAGAGCTGTAACATAGAACTCACCTAGTGTGAGAAGAACAAGGAAAAAGCACTTTAAAATCTGATTTGTGAGATCTTTCCCCTAAACATGACTCTTGTTCATGTTTAAAACATATGTGCACTTATACACAGATTTTTTTATAATCAAGTAGAAATATTTGGATATACAGAGTTTTAAAAAATTATGCAGCATGATTTTTCTTTAATTTAACTCATTTTTTCATGCCAAAGTTATTATTGGCCAATACTAAGTGTTTATTAAAGTGAAGGAAATAACTAAATCTAATTGGACTCAATCTGGGCAAATTTGCAATGGGAAAATTAGCCTATAAAACTCTGGGGTAGATAATCTTGGGATGTGGTAATCAGCTAATTGGTCCATAAAAATATAAACATAGGAATGTCAAAGTTTAAAGATACAATATTTTCACATTTTGCATCTTTATACTTTTACATTTTATATGTTGCACAGGTTTTTTTGGGGGGGTTTTTTAAAAATATTTTTGTAAGGTATGCCCTTTAAGTAATAATTCAGTAGGTAGTACTTTTTATGATTAAATGATGGCTTCAAAATAATGAAAAATATTTAAATTCATACTTAAAACTTCAAAAAAGAACATATGTACTTCATTCAATATATGATAAAAATTGTTAGAAAATGTGTCTCACCTAACTTTTGTTGAAGGTCCATTAGTGTCCAGGTCAGTAGCTATGAAATCTCCCAGTTTATAATTCTGTCCCATTTTACTATTTACTACGAATGTCTTTGAACCTGGACGGAACACTGAGCCTTCGATTACATTTAACACAGTCACGGAGATTGCTGTTGCTGTGAGCTTATATTGAGACATAATTGATTGATGAAATTCAGCTTTATTTCTAACACCGATACTGAGTTGCAGGTTCTGCATGGCTTCATAATCCAAGGCCTAGTAAATCCAGAATGAAATAGTTTTACTACAAAAAGAAAAGAATTCTAGAAGAAAAAGAGATCCTTTGATAATAGTTATAAATGCTTATGCCTAGAAAGATGATATTAATTAAATATAAATACATAAAATGTGTTCTTACTTTACCTTTAATACAAACACATAAAATATATATAGTGAAAAAAAATCCAATCTTGTATCCTTCATTGAAAATATATGACATGAGTCCTCATTGTCCACCAAATTAAAAATTTTAAAAATAGTATAGATGGTCAAATCCTTGCATTTTTTAGTGCAAGGACAGTTTATATTATCCTGTATCATTCTGTGTTTTTCAGAAAGTAGTTCTATTTATGGGCTAGATACATTGTAGGTTCCATCATTTGACTGGTTCTACCCACAAAGAACTATTTGGAAGAATTTTACTTCTACAAATATGACTTCTTTTATTAAGCCAGGTACTAGAATGTAGCATACAAATAATAAAAAGAAATTTTTATTTTTTCAACATATTCTAGAATAAATTATTTCACCTTTTGGAAATAATCAAGTAGTCATTTCCACTAAAAAAAGATGGTGTTAATATCCATTACTCCTACAATCTACAAACAATGCATTATGCCAAATATATTTTCCTAAACTTTCATAAAAGAGTCTTTAGATGACCATGGATTCACACATTGCACTCTTTACTTACATACATTTTTAGTCTTTGCCCTGATGTTGGCTGTACTTGCAATTTCAAGATTGGCTATAAAATCATGTATACATATACATTACACACAAACACACAGACTTATTACATATAGTATATAATCATAAAAAGAATTAACATGATGTTATGTCTGGGAGAAAAATAAGAATAATTCCCATTTTACAGATAGAAGTATGGAGGACAGATAGATTAATTTTCTAAAGTAATGGAGTAGTTTAGTATAAAATAGTTTATGATTTTTTCCCCAGCATGAAATCCTGGGGAGTATAGTGACAGGATATGGACTTAGTAGCTAGAGAGATGTAGGTTTGTGTGCCAGCCGTACCAATACAGTTAAGTGAAGCTGAGTAGGTTATATACTCTCTCTGGACCTCAATGTATCTATCTGCAACATGGGCATATAACTGATTGCAGGGATGCTGTGAGGATTAGACTGAAGCCTCTGCCCAGGGCCTCACGAAGAGAAAGCCACGGACATGGTGACACTTTACGATGACAGGAAACAAATGATCACACGTTCCCAGGAGGACAGACTGAAGGAGACTATTTCCGAGGACTATTCCGAAGGAAGGAAGTAGTGGAAAAAGAATTACATTTTCCTATGAAGAATCCATAATGCACACATCACATATAGTTTATGCACCACTATTGCAACTTTTTACATTGATGTTTAGAGAGATGGAGGAGGGAGAGAGAGAAACATCGATTTGCTGTCCACTTATATGTGCCCTGATCCGGGATCAAACCTGTAACCTTGGCATACTGGGAAGACACTATAACCAACTGAGCTACCTGATCAGGAGGCTATTGAACATTTTAAAAATAGACTCGGCAAGGCTTTAGCACAGGGTGAAAGTTCCACTACCAGCTCCCTAGGAGTCTGACATTCCCCCCTTTCATGTCTCAGAAGGAGTTCTACTGCAGATGATTTGGTGGTTCGTTAATGTCAGGGAAACTCTAGGGACTTGGACCAAATCTCTAGTGTATTTATATCCATAATAAACCTTGGTCAGCAGCCTCAATGAGCTGGGAACGCAATTCTACAATTATAGTTTTTTACTGTTAATTTCATAAAAACACAAGGAGGAATAAGAACATTCGATTTCTATAGTGAATATTCTTAATGTATAATAATCGCCATGGACACATTTTGTTTGTAAAGGCCATGTTAAATCTGATTTAAATATTTTTAAATATCTCAAACAAAGCCCTAAGGCATAATCATATTTTGTTGTAAGCATAAAGTTAATTTCCCATTTAAAAATTCTTTCTATTCATATGATCAGCAGGGGAGAACTGTATAAATAGAGTTTCGAGTTAAAATCCAATGCCTATTTTCATGAAATTATATGAGCAATAAACCTCGCCATTAAAACAGTATTTTTTTTTAATCTTTTCACCCACTCGAGTTTGTGTAATCTTAACATTTAGATTTAAGATTAACATTTGGAGAAAGACCAAGAGAACAACATATTTAGGATAGTTACACCATACCTTCACAATCTTCAGAGTCCCCACGTTTGTTCTTTCGTTCATTTCTATGTCAAACCAATTCCCCTCGTTTCCAGTGATGAAGAAAATGACAGCCATCCAGTTAGCTGAAAACTCCTCATCCAAGTCAATGACTCTGATTTGGAGCAAATTGGAGTTCAGAGAGTTTTCTTCGATATTTAGTTCATACTGAAACGAGAAGCCAAAATCTTCAGCGCACACTGCGAGGGAGAGAATGACGCTCCACTTACACTGGGTGTCCATAGTCACTCAGGTCTGTGTGTGGAGTCTCTCTTTTCATTGTTCAAACATTTGGCCCCAGTGCATTACATAGTAAGCACAGACAAAGGACATGTCTACCCCGGCTTGTCTGTGACTAAGGAGAACATAGACATCTGTAAAGAGGATTGTCCAAACACATTTTGGCATACGATCATTCCTTTCAGAGACGAGCACTTACTGAGGACTGATCCAGGTATGGGATGTTGTCGTTGACATCGAGGATTTTGATGCTGCACTCGCACTCTGCGGACATGCCGTCCGCCCCGCCGTCTCGGTCTGAGCCTCTTACAGCAAGGGAATATTGGCTGTATTGCTGCACACACACACGACAGACAATATCACAGTTGGCATAGACAGTCCTTATTCTGTCTCATGCAGAGTTCTTTTAAAATGTTGGCTCATGATTTACATAAATCTGTGGTGGTGATAAAGGTACCACCGATCCTTAAAAACTCGTATCTCACATGAATCAACATGAAAGACACCACGTCGAGTCCCTCAAATGCTTCTTCCGCCTCATTGGAAAGAAGCGACATGCTTCCAAAGTCTCACTCCTTATGTTTTTGCTCAGAATTTGAAAATGTTTCTGAAGGGCAAACTGGGTCGAAACAATCAGGGGGAAGAGTTGAAAGTTTACCAAGAACTTTGGCATGAGTTCCCTGCCTTTCATGGCCAGCCCTGATGTGCGAGAATAAAGAGGTCCAGGTTGGCATTTCTGGGGCCCAGGTTGTGGCAGGGGAATTATGGACGTTCTAGCTCCTTGATTCTATTCAGTGGTGCTTACGTTTCCAGAAGCTTGTGAAAGCTCTGACTCCCCCAGACACAAGCATCCTTGCTTTCTCATCTAAAACTGCAATATGATCTTAGAGGCGTCATAGTTAGAGACGTCTTGAGGTCTCACCATGGACGCCTGGTTAAGAATATCTGGAGTTTCCCCCTTTCCTGTTTAGAGCTCTCCACTGCTAAAACTCTTCAGACATGAAAGGAGTTTCATTGGGTTCTTTAAGAAAGTTCAAGAAAGAGCTAAGCAGTCAATTTCTTCTGATGGTAACTTTCTAACAAGTATAAAAAGAGAGGTAGGTCACCTAGAAACTGATGGCGTCTAGATAATTAAAGAGTGTAGGAATAATCTGATTTATCCTAACCCTCCCAGTCATCAAATAGGAGTTTGCCATTTTTAAATAACTGTAGTTATTAAAATAAAATTAAATTGAGTATTAGAAAATAACACTTTCTCGTGTATATTCTTACAGGACATGTAGGTTAGCAATATTCCTTTTAAAAATAATGAAAAGTTGATTTTTTTTACATAAGTTATGGCACCACCTGGCATGATAGAAAGAAACCATGTCATGCTGATTCTAATTTGGTAACACTCGCTAATTGTCTTCTTACTCATAAATGAAAAGATTGATCTGGAAGTTATTTAATTTCTGTCTATCATGCTGTTCCTGCGATCCATTTCCCAGAGTAACCAGAGGGTGGTCAGCAGCTGCAGCACAGGAAGAAAACAGGTTTCTGTTGTCAGATGAGCTTAGGACGCGCCGGGTTAAAGGAGGAGGAGCGAGTTTCCTAGTCTGTGCAAGCCCGCGGGACTCGAGCACGTTTGCACGCACTGACTCACCACGCCGGGGGCTGGAAGAGCAAATGGCTTTTAAGTTTATTGCCCTAGACAACCCACTTTCTTCATAAAACGGAGCTTTTGCCTCTCCTGCTATGCATATTTTTCTGTACTCAGAATGCAGCACATCCTAAGTAAGATTAAATGAAAGACAAGGATATAAAATGTATGCGAGGAATCGCCATATTTTCATTATAAAGGCATTTTTATGTCATTACCGTTATGTGAAAAGGTTATGTAACTACATTTTAAAAATATAGTTCCCTTTTTTTTTTTTTTTCTTACTTAGGTACTCTTGCCTTTAGAGTCAGTTCCTATGAACTAGCAACCCATCCGAAAAAAAAGAAATTACCTCCCTGTCGAGAAAGTTGTTCATTGTCCGGATTTCCCCGGTGTATCTGTTGATGATGAACATGGGTGAGTCAGACGGTTCCTGGCTGATGATCTTAAAGGCGATTTTGGAGTTCAGATTATTGGGTTCGTCCGCATCGGTAGCATTGAGTCTCATCACCAGCGTATCTAGAAATCAAGGAGAATGGATAGCAAATGGACAGTTTGTATGTGTTTTTCTTACTGTTCATGTTTTGCAAGAAGAGGGTAGGCTAGTTGGTTCATATAATGTGCACTCTACCATTTTTGTTTTCTCCTTCTTCGACCTATTCATACCTTGGTTCCTTTCTTTACCTTTACATTGAGAAAAAGATCAGCTTTGACCAAGAACCTAGATATTACTGGTAGTTAGAAAACAACGAAATGCTTTATTCTGCCTTTCCATTTCCTATCCTAGTATAATGATTTATTTTTACGGCTTTTGTGGTGAAACAAAAATGGGATTTCTCAGCTATACAGCACATCCTAGAGAAAGAAGGGGGAGAACCAGTATGAATGGAAGTGGATGGGATTGCCCTTCAGAGCAGTCAGCTGGGAGTCCATTCTCTTCCTGCCCCACCGTGTCCAGTCCTTCTGGAATGTTCCCGTAGGAATCTGCTACGGAGCCGGTATGAGCGTCATAAGAGAGAATTCCTCTCATTGCCTTGGAGCTGCTTGTTGCCTGTGACCAGCCAAAGCTGCCTTCGCGGTGGAAGGGAAACCTGTATGGAGTCTTCCTCGTGCCTCTCTCTTCTGCTTGCTTTTCTAGAATTACCTCTGAGATAGGTGGGGCGGTGCATGGACATAATTTAGCTTCTAGCAGACTGGCTGTTAAGAATGATCTGGAAGCCCATATATTCTTGTGTACTTCAGAAAGTCGACTACTTACTTGCATTAGAGTTTTCTTCTATTTGTCCTAGGAAACTGGTCATAGAAAATACTGGAGGGTTGTCATTTATATCCAGAACCCGCACTCGGAGCTCCAGGGGCCTCTCTAAATCCTGGCCCTGTGAGTTCAGAGCCCGGCAGTAGATCTTGAAGGAGAAAAAAAGGGATAATTACATGCTGCAACGCATATTGAGTTTTTACTTTGTTTGGATGCTCTACGAGGCACTGTGTAGCTAAAAGAAGAATAAGATTTTATTTCCCACTGGAGTGTAAGCACAGCAGCACTTGTAATCAATAAGGGTGGCACACCCGTACCAAAATACCACTTAAGGAAAGGTAACACGATCAGTTACAAAGGATGAGTATGACATCATAGGGGGTATAGTGACTGAGATCAATCTTAAAAGAGGTTTTCAAGCTGGGGATTGCAGGGTGTTCCCAGCAAAGGAATTCATTAAGGGAAGAAGCAAAGGGAAGAACATGCATTGTTTGGAATTGGGAAGAGGGGCCTTGGGAGGTTGAGGCTGTGGTAAAGGAGAGTCACGTGGGGGCTTCCAAGAAATGTAGCATTCATAAGCTAGGTGGGGGCTGTATGGATGTTTGTGCCATTGTTACTATTACCAGATGTATACATAAATTAATGTGTACTATTTTACCTATTTTGGCATATTTCATTTAGAAAACCATTATGCTTTCACCAAAGCAAATAGGCTGGCATGCTGAGTAAGAGAGTTTGATGGAGAACACTGTGGGAAATAAGGCAGGAATATATAAAAGACTAAGGAATTAAAATAGTCTTGGGAATACAGACAAGCAATATGAGTGAAAGCAGCAAACAGATGACTACTGGAGGTATTTTTGGATATGGATCGATAGTGTTTTAATAGAAGAGATTACAAGATCTAGACAGGTGGTCCTTTATTTTTTATAACAGTTTTACTTATTGATTTTAGAGAGAGAGAGGAGGGAAGGAAGAGAGAGAGACCTGACTGGGGAAGGAAACTGAAGTCCTTGGTGTTTATCAGGATGATGCCTAGCAACTAAGCTACCCAGCCAGCGCCTATTTCCTCATTTTTAATTTTAAGTGTTAACAAGTGTTGACCGTGATGGAAGCAACTCACAGGACAGCAGAAGAGACATGAAAAAAAGAGTGGGTACCAGAAGGCTCTTGAGGAGCTAGGTAATTATGGAACAACGGGAACTCCCGAGATACATTGGAGAAAACAGAAAATGCATCTTGCTTTCGGAACATTTCCGAGCAGGCGGAGAGAATGAATTGTAGGAGTCTGTGGTGAAGAGCCTCAGAGTTTTGTAATGAAGGTGGTCATGAGGTCAGCTGCTTAAAACAGAAATGAGGTGAATGGGTGAAGTGTAAGTGCTTACACTTGGTCAGCTAGCAGAGGTGAGAGGAAGAGTCAGGTAAGGAGGAACTGAAGTCTTTCCAAGACACGATCTGTGCTCAGGGATCTTGAGCATGCATGCTCACTCCGGAAAGGCTCCCTGGCACCTACAGAACCACCCCTAGGCACTGAGGGGACCAACGTTCCCAACTGAATTAAAGACAAAAAGTCGACGCTGAGCACTTGTCCTTCTAGCAAATAGAAGCCAGTGGGGCCAGATCGCAGGCTAGCATTTTTCCTCAGGCGCTCACGCGAGACACCGCTCTGACTCTCCGTCTTCCCCGGGTGTTTCTGGGGTCATAGTTGCTCATGAATTAAGAGACAACCAAAAAATGCCTACTACTGAGACTCTTGAAATCAAATCAAGTATGATCTGAGCTCAAGATAGTCTCCAAAGAATTTAGGCCTGAACATATACACTGACACGGCACCCACTTACAATGAAAAACGGGGTGACTTCTCGGTCAACTATGGATGTGATGTTAATTTCACCAGTTTTCTGATTGATAATGAAGACTCCATACGGTGGTTGATCAATTCCTACTCCAGAGATGCGATATGTAACTTGCTGGTTTGCAGCACAATCTGAATGAATCTGCAGAAAGAGCACAAGTGAAATTACAGGATGGAAAAAAAAATCTGTTATGTTTCATATGTAATAGCTGTCTTTTTCAAGAGTTATTGACTGTCCTGATATCCCAGTTATCTGGGGGGAAATTCTGGAAGTAGAGAATCATTTTCCCAGATAGTGGTATGGTTATAGTGCTAGTATTTTTCAGTGATAACTGATAATGTAATATAAGACATTCAATTATATTTTTACCAAATCATAAAAAAGTAAAATAACACCCTAATATGTCTAAGTCTATGCAATCATCATTCCTGAATGCATTCATTCATTCATTCATTCATTCATTCAGCATTTACAGTTTGATGGTATTATTTTCAGGCTCTGTGCTGGTATCGGTCTAGAGTAGGGGACTCCTTGCTCTCTTGAGGAGCTGGTCAATGTTGTCATTATATAACTGTGATCTCCCATTTCAAATGTGAAGGTTGAGGTGGACTTAAGTGGGTAACAAAAGATACCTGATTACATAGGAAAGCTCTTGATTCTGAAATTGGAGGTAGTATTAGCAGAAAAGTAAAGAGAGCACCCCAAAGAAATGGTTGGAGAAACCAGGATTCTGTTGAAATAAAGTATTGTATGGGGAGTGTCTCTGTGTGTATCTAAGTGGAAGTGCTATGTTTGTCTGTGGAGGGATATGTACTTGTATATGAGTGAATTGTGTTTCTGAATGTCCTTCTCTGTGTGTGTGTGTGTGTGTGTGTTGTGTATATAAAGACATGTAAGGGAAAGTAAAAGGATGATTTTTTTTTTTTTGAAAAAAAGGTACATTGTGAGTGTTCATAAACAAGCCAAAAGTAGAATTTAAATCAAACAGATTGTGAGGTAGAGAGAGCACATGTTGAAATTGTTCCTGTAAATATGATGAGCGGTAACGCACGATATTTTTAAAATCCAGAGTCTGGGACAACACATGATTGTGTATTAATTTCACCAGTAAGGCGAGTCAATGTTTAACCGGCTACATGAGCGCCTACATTTATTAATTTATCTCTTTAATGGCTTCAACTTTCATGATCTGAATGACCATTATTCTGACTTCTCTCATGACTTCTCAGTGAGACATGTTCTCAAACCATGCGAAGGGCAGGTTCTTTGGAAACATGAACGCTATCCATCTTGCTGTCGAGTTGCTGTGTTGGGGGTTGGCACTTACTTTGGCGATGGGGTTCCTCTTGGAGTTGTCTTCACCTTCACGGCAGGCCGCCGCGAACTTGATCCACTCGCGCTTGTGCCTCTTGATGGAGTGCCACCTGATGGTGCCATTCTTAGCGCTGGGATCTCTGACCTTGAACGGCAGGGGAAGGAATGGTACCGTTACCTTCTACTCGGAATCCACAGTCCACTAAAGAGCCTGTGGGAGGGGTCATTGTAATGGCAGAAAGGGTGCTTCATTGGGAAGATTGGTAATGTTGATACTCCGTTAACTTGAGCATAACACTAACTTTACTTATAAAGGTGATTTTTTGGGGGGTGGGGGGGGTGATGCACAGGGATATGTTGTTACTCCGAAAGCATTTTCTTTGTTTTTAATTTGAAAAAGTAAATTTTCTATAGGTTACCTGGATTCGAAATTCACTGTTAACTTCCACCAACACCTATAAAAAATAAAATAAATACAATAGTTAATTTTTAACCAAATGCTTTACAGTTTATGTTATCAAATCACTAAAAAGTCAAATCTGCGTCATTAAAATTATTTCCTCAGTCTGGATAGCAGGGGGACCAGCTTATGTCTCAGGTCTGATAATGATCTTAAGGATTCTTTTCCTTTTGGTTTTTACTTTTCCATTTTGCTCTTCTTCTTCTTCTTCTTCTTCTTCTTCTTCTTCTTCTTTTTTTTTTTTTTAGTTACTTTTTTTTTTTAACATTAAAAAAAATATTCTATCCTATGCAGATACTTGCAATCATATGAGCTAGGACATTTGAAGCTATAAGCCAGTGGGATTGAGGGTTGGAAACTTGGGTTCTCTTAGTAAATCTTATGCCTGAAGAGATGGAGATATTCAACAATAAGTTATGATACTAAAAGTTTTGACTACAGAGTTAGCATCTGAGTGGTCACAGGTGGAAACAGGAGAAAGGTTTTGGGGGGAAGAAAGAATACGGAGCAGAAAGTATCCAGAGAGCTTCCAAAACATTTGCTTCCTCACAGTCCAATTCTAAATGGCTGCTTTTCTCTTATTCTTGAAAATCTTAAGATGGTGAGTTTTGTACTTGCTTGGAAATCTTTCTATATATACACAGGGAATATGCTAAGTAACCGCTCAGGAGGAGCTGCACGCACTGGGGGCGGGAGGGGACTGCCCCAGCGGCCGTGGGGAGGCTGGGCTGGGGTCGGAGGAGACACACACACAGGAGCGCCTGCCTCCACCCCAGCGGGCACAACGCGGCTGGCACTGCGCGGCTCAGGTGTGGGTCCCGGCCCCCGCGGGGGAAACCGCGTGCTGGTCTCACTATTCACTATAAAAAGTGAGACCATCCAGTTCTAAAACAGAAGCAACTTGTTTTCTCTGTGTAAAGAGTGAGCTCATGCTGGGTGTTTACTGTTCGCACTGGGCAGCAGAGGATGCGAGCCCCCCTTCCATGGCCGAGCAAACAGCTGGGCGGCAGCCTCCTCGCCCGTCTCTGCATCAGTGAGCGGGTCAGGCAGAGGCTGCAGGCCCGGCTCGGGCTGGCCGGACCTTTGCGAATGGTTTGTCCAGATAAAACCGGGCAATTTAACTTACTTTTCTCTAAACACCAAAGGCATTTCTAAAAACACAAACACTTACGTAATATACTTAATATATCAACATACTTAAGTCCTTGTAAACATCTGCCTAAAACTTAGGTGTGAATTTGAAGGCTAGTTGGCATTTATTAAGTTTTAAATTGCGCTTAGAATTAGTAAATACAGCCTGAATCTTTAGTTCGTATCTCTGCCTAAATAGGGCATTTTTTTTCTTAAATAAATTTTTATTGTTCATATTATTACAAATGTTCCTCCCCCCCCCTTCCCACCCCACCCTCTGCCCTTTCCCCATCCCCCATTGTCCTCATCCATAGGTGCACAGTTTATGTTCAGTCTCTTCCCAATTCTTCCTTGCACTTTTGTTAGACTTGCAAAATGTGAAAACTGTTACTGCAAATAGGCTTTATCTGTTTTACTAATGAAATAAAATTATGGTTTGCATTTTAAAAATACTGATACAAAATAGTAATTTCAAAATATAGTAAATTACTTTTTATAGTGAATTTTAATTTCACCATTAAATTAAAAATATAATTTTATTGTTTAAATTTTTTTAAAAATAATCATAATTGATAATTCAAGAAACTTTATATTATGGTTAATTTGAGTAATTTAAAATGATAATATTTTTATTATAGGAGTTACATACTCATGGTATATATTTAATGTTAATAATGATCATTATCACCATTGCAATTCCCTAAATGATAACTAAATACTAGACAACATGGTTAAAGAAACCCATGCATTGCATCTTCACAAGTACAAGTGGTCAATACTATAATAATCTTCACTTTACAGCTGAGGAAACCGAGATTTCCGTATTAATTTATGGCTAAATACAATCCAACACAATTCAGTCTAATTTGTGCTTAGATGTGGTATTTACAGTTAAGTGCAAGATAGCCTATTTCACGTAAATAAAATATAATATACTATAGATGACTGCCATTGCAATTTTGATAATTTAAAAAAATCCTGATTTTAATCTCATATTATTCTTGTGATTAGGACTCTAATCTCATATCACATACAATAATAACAACAACAATAATAGTGATACTGGTGTGTGTGTGTGTGTGTGTGTGTGTGTGTGTGTGTGTGTGTAAGAAAAGTAAATGGCCCACGTGGTTTGGAGAAGGAACTGAAATGGCACTGTTGAATCTGACTTGGGCGTGGGGATGAGCCCATGTTAATGCAGCTGTGCGCTCCTTGCTACCTCGAACTCATGAGCACTTGGTCCTCTCGTTTGTGGGTGCTGGGTGGGGGTGTGGGGCACCTTATTTGCCTGCCATTTCTTCATAGCTGCCGATTGAGTGTGCACCTGTTATCTGTCTGGCACTTCCTCCCCCATGAAGTGTCGGTGCCGCTGTTTGCTTTGGAGAGCTGGCCAGATGACTAACCTTCCGACTTGAAGAAGCTGGGTCATTATTTTTCCCACGAGATGCAGCTTAGGCAGAAGACCAAGCAGGTTTCACCGTACAGGCAGGCTCTTAATTAGATTAGTAATTAAAAACTGCTGGGTCTGCTTAAAAATATGTTGTGTGGACATAACCATATTGCCTTTTGCTCAGTCTAAAGTAATCTCTGAAACATAGTCCCTCTTTGACTTTGGAAGGCAAAATAAAGAGATAAAAAGAGCATTTGGTACGGTCAGAAAACTTTCAATGTGCTTCCTAAATTCTCATTCATAAAATGACAGGAGTTGCCTGGATTATATACAGTTATCTTCCGAATTCTAACACCGCATCCCTGTGTGCAGTAGGAAAATATTCAGGTTTCTTGGTCGTGGGAAATGGATGATAAAATTGTGAATTTAAAGATCACTGCCAGCAATTGATGGGAGGCAGCCATTATAGGCCAGGAGCAGTCGAGTTTCTGCATCAAATCAGCTCAGAGATGAGGAGCAGCAGTGGCGGAGGGAAGAGACTGGGAAAGATCAAAGGAGAGACACTGCTTGATTGAAATCCGTGGGGGTGGAGAAAAGGTGGGATGTGGGCGTGAAGAGAGGGCTGAGTCTCGGGCGGGGGCAGCTGGAAACCTGGAGATCAGGAGCAAGGCAGAAGCAGGATCTGGCAGGTTAGAACAAACCCAGATGCTAGAGATATGCCCAGGGAAGATGTTCAGCTACTGAAATATGTGTCAGCACCATGAACAATAGTTCTGGCCTGATACTCAGATTTGAGAGACACCTGCTCATGTGAGATGGTTTCAATCGTGGGAGAATTTGAGATCCCTAAAGTAGAGAATACAGCAAAGCAACAGCCCGTGGCTGAGGGTGAAACGAGGGGAATTCCTATATTTACATGACTGGGAACAATGACAATAAACAAGAAACAGCAAACAAGGTAGAAAAGAAGTGGCCAACGAAATAGGAGGAAACTCTAATGCAATGCCATGGTTACCAAAGGGAGAACTGAAAGACAAAGAGTGTGCACATGTGTCCGATGATATAAAAAAGGTGAACAGAGTGAATCCTGAGAAAATCCTCAGGTTTTCTGTGACCTTCAGGAGAAAGCCTTCAGTTGGGTGGAACAAGCTCTCCCTGACTGACAAGATAGAGAAGAGAACATAAAGGTGCCATTTTTTGGGAGAGATTTGGTGGTGTAAGGAAATAGAAGCAGTAGCAGAATTAGACGATGTCCCAGGAGATGTTTGGGGAGAGGGAGATGCGGATTTTTGAAGGCTGAGAAAGGGGAGAGGAGGAGATTGTGGGCTGCAGCAGGAAAGGTTGAGAAAGCATTGCATGGAGGTATTGTGATGGCCAGGAGGGGGTCAGCAGAAAGAAAGGGCTCTACAGACAGAGGCTGGTGGAGAGATTGAGATTAAAATCAGTGGGTTAGGAGAGGGAAATTGAAGGACATCATACTGGGTGGTCCACACCTTGTCCCTCCAGTAAGATGAGACCATTTTTCGGGTAATTGGGGGAGTGGTTTGGGTTCTGAATTTGGGAATACATTCTGGGAAGGCCCTGAAGGAGATTTATTAGAGATGAATACAGGGCTGTCAAGCTAACTGAGCACATCTCAGCTCTCTTGCCCATTGGATATGGGCATTGGGGTAAGTCACTCAGCCATTCTGTGCCTCAGCTTCCTCATTTGTATGTGAGACTAAAGCCTTTTTTTTAATCCCAAAATTCTAAGAGCAATAAAGAAGTCACTTGAAGAGAATCCTCAGTGACTCTTCCCTTCATCTCTAATTTAGAAGCCAATCCACATACAAATAAAAAAACTAAACACACACACACACACACACACACACACACACATACACACACCACCACCACCACCACCAACGACCACAGAATACAAAATTGATGCTAATTTTAATGATTCTCTAATTATACCCATTTTAATACTGAATTTTACATTTCTTTGTATATAACAAAATGGCCTTGAAAGTAGTAATTTATAATTTTTTCAAGGTAAACCTCTTCCATTTCATACTTGTGAGTTGGTCTTCCAGTTACTTGGCAGTTTTTGTTAAGCATCAAGTTCTAATGTATTTAACTCTTATCGCCGCCACAACAATGAACTTGTGACTTATAACAAGTTGCTTCTGTTAAAAAAGTCCTCTTTTGTCTTTTGTACTTGCACGAAAGCTACTGGTCGGGCATTGACTTCTGAGTAGGTTGAATTATTTTATTTGTTCACTGGTTCATTTACTTGTTTGACAAATAAATATTGAATGTGTATTATGTGGATCCAAGGCTGCAATAAGACCTTATGGTAAGTAAGCCTTAGATGAAATGTAAAATTAATGTAATAACACACCTTTGAAAAAGTGCTAGGGAACCTCACCATGATCATTCCCATGTTTAATACCTGGACATGTTTTTGGAGTGTGTGAGGGAAGGGAAATAGAAACTGTCCCCAAATTCCCTTCCGATGCCTCCATGCTGTGAGATGAGACACCCTGGTGCCCTCTGGCATGGGAGCGTTAGGAGCAGCAGCCGCCATCGTGGGTGGGATGTGGCTTCACGGTGGACAGGGATGAAGCACGGAGCTCTGTTCCCACAGGCCAGTTGAGGGCAGGATCGGCAGCCCCTGGCATTTAAACCACTTGGCCCTGTCAGAGGCCACGAGAGGAACTTGCATGCCCAGCATAGTCAGCGGGGGCGGCGTGCCCAGCCTTCTGGAAGGGAGTTCCCCGTGGCCCAGCGTGGCCATCCAGCTGCCAGCCCAACGGCACTGGTCCCACCCAGGCAGTGCCTCCAGGACAGGGGACCGTCCCCCCTGGGAATGCGCAGGGCAGAGAGCTGCCAGAGAGCAGATGCTGGACAGCAGGCTGCTCTGCTGGACTCAGGAGCCAGTGGAATGGCCTCCCCTGGCCCTGAGGGCCCCAGCCTTCAGATCCAAGGCGGCATTGTTGGGCTTCTCTGTTGCCTAACCCAGGCATGGCGACATGTTCGCTGGGTGGCAATGAAAGCCAATTAAATGGTGAGACATGTGCCCGCCCCTTTGCCTAAGGCGAAGGGAGTTCTGGTTCCGAATGTGTCTCTTCAGTTGAGAGTGCCGGGTAAATGGCAATGGTCTTGTTCAATCCAGTTTGTAAATGTTACTAAACAGGTGAGCAGAAACACCTCTTCATGTTCTAGAAAAAAGTTTATTGAAATGCTAATATCTGTAATAAGCATCGTCGTAATCTGTGCTCAAGAAGGCGTAAGGACACCCCTGTTTGTGTGTGTTCTGGCCAGTCTGAGAGCATGCCAGCTCTCCCCTGTGCTCACACCAGGAAGCAGTTATGGGGATTGAAGGTGTCAAGCTGATGGACTATGTAATAAAGCGTATGCAAGGGTGGGCAAAAGTAGGCTTAGAGTTGTGATACAAATAAATAATACAATAATGAATAAATAACAATTCAAGAACAAACTGTTTCACATACAACTGCAAACCTACTTTTGCCCACCCCTCTATTATTTTTTTGTGTATTTTCTTGTGAGTTCTGAGAAATACTTAGATAAATGCCTACTTAATCTTTCTGCTAAGTTGAAAGAGTGGACTTAGTTTATCAGGTGGTTGCAGGGTTGTTTTTTTTAGATGAAATATTAACCATGGAAAGAGAAGAAGGTAGGCCAGAGGTCGGCAAACTCATCAGCCAACAGAGCCAAATATCCACAGCAAACAACTGACATTTCTTTGGAGAGCCACATTTTGTAAACTTAAACTTCTAATGCCTTCTTCAAAATAGACTCGCCCAGGCTGTGGTATTTTGTGGAAGAGCCACACTCAAGGGGCCAAAGAGCCGCATGTGGCTCGCGAGCCGCAGTCTGAAGACCACAGAGCGAGGCTAAAGTGATGGGCGGAAAAACGGGATCGTTCTCGGCATAAAGAATGGCTTATTTGCGTTCGTTGCTGCAGAAGTTGGCCTTTATAGGAAAAGAACCTTGAAAGTGCATTGATTGGAGCCGGCAAAGCTACAAGTGATGTTTAGAAATCACTGGGACTATAAACACTCTCCTGGTTCCGGTTTGCTTCCCCATAGTGACAATGCCAAGCCTCATACCATGGCCACAACCGTCCTAAGAGACTTCTTACACTGGTGCATGGGTAACACTGTTCTCTGGCCTAGAATACTCCTCCACACACTGATATTATGGAAACAGAGAGGAAAGAAAAATAAACGCAGAGCCAATAACATTTATTTGGCTTGCCATGCTATAACAGGTGTAAGCTCTTGTCTGTCCCAGAGACTGGCTACAGAATGGCATCACCCTGTAGCAGTGTTGGTTGCTGTCAGAGCAGGCTCTTCATCGTCACTCTCCAGAGCTCACTGCTAACTCACAAGGCCTGTCCCTTCAGTGCACTGAGCAGACAGCACAGCATGCTGGCAAACATGGCTGTCAGCTCTCACGTGGACTCGCATTAAAGACACCACAGTCCACATGTCTTAGGCCTTTCAGAACGTCCAACTGGGCTCTCTTCACAGGCTCTCACTTATCAACGTGGAAGACTTTACAGAATTTCCTTCCTTCCTTCCTTCCTTCCTTCCTTCCTTCCTTCCTTCCTTCCTTCCTTCCTTTCTTCCTTTCTTCCTTTCTTCCTTCTTTTCTTCCTTACTTCCCTCTCTCCCTCCCTCCCTCCCTCCTTCTCTCCCTCCCTCCCTTCCCCCCACTCTTTTCTTCCTCTACCTCCCTCCCTCCCTCCCTCCCTTCTCCTTCCTTTACTCCCTCCCTCTTTCCTTTCCTCCTTCCTCCCCCACCTACCTTCCTCCTCCTTTCTCTCTTCCTCCCTCCTTCCTTCCCTTTTCCCCTTCCTCCCTCTCTCCCTTCTTCCTTTTGCAAGAGCAAACATTCACAGCGAGGCCAGCAGACAGGTGAGGGAAGCATTGGCTGTGGTGGTGATTAATTTTCAGAAAAAGAGTATTTCAAAGCAAACACAGACAGCATAACTCCAATGGACATTTATCTGAATTATCTGGTGAAACCAGTAGCAAAAAGGAATCGTAATTTTTGCAAACCTCAGAAAGCGAAGCATTTTATAAAAGTGTTATAATAATGTAAAAATGAAGCATTTTAATTCACCATAGAATAAGTACTTTGAAACATAATTTTTATAAGGCATATGAAAAACTTTGTTGATTCGAAAGTAAATTATGGCAAAAACCAAACAGATAAATGAATAAACAAATAATCCACACAAAAGAAAACTATCAAGACTCAACAAATAAAATACAAACGACCAGAAGCCTCTCCAGGGAGAGAAGGGTCAGTAAGGACACATTTGGATAAAATGATACATGACACTGCGGAATGACTAATTGGAAAGGGACTGTTTAAAGAAACTTTATAGGATGTAATTAATTAAAAATAATCATAAAATAATGAAATAACATATCTCACAGATTCAATGAAAGCTATTCAAGGAATAAACCTTGAATCAACTATAACTCTCATAGGACCTAATAGACCAAATTGCTATGAAATGAAAAATAAAGTATTTTATCATTTCACAATGTACAGATGCTCCTCTGTTCAAATGACATACTGCGTAACGCTCAGCAATCCCTGACACGTCCCATGCTGTGACATCACCTGACCCTAAAGATCCATTCAAACGTCCATGGAAGAGAGCTTATGCTTAAAGGGCAACTTGACATAAAATCATAGAAAAAAAATCACAGCTTGTACTAATGCTCCCAGCTTACTGATGCTCACTTACAATGAAACCCACTGATGGTGACAGATCTGAATTAATAAACTGAGCTAAAACTAACCAGCATACTTTGAACCAAAGACCTAACTTGTTATTATGAAACCCAGCAATCCAGTTTGAAAATTAAGCAAGTAGAGGCAAATATGAACCACAGCACCACACGCATCCTGCCAAATTGGATCGTGATGTAAGCGGCACTTGCTCTTTCTGTTAGACTGCAATTCAAAACGCTGGGCTTCGGCGAAATTGAGGCAACGCATTAGCGCTGTCCTGAGGGTTGTCTTTGACAAGAGAAAACTAATAACGTGTAAGTTATTAGTGATAAAACATTTCATTCCATTTGTCTGGTCATCAATGTACAGCTTGTGTATCATAGTCATTAGTGATTTTCCCTGAGCAAGAACTAGTATGGTAGTAATTATACTTATTTCTTAATTATAGCCCTACCGTGTCCTACTATGTCATTTCTAAATCTCCCATAATGTCATTTTTTTAAGTAAAAAGACTGTTTTAATAATTCAGAGTGAAGCAGTGTGGAGTCTCGATATTAGAGATACGGATGCCAGCCACCTACACAGCCGATGAGGCTAACTGGATAGTGAGGCCGGTCACAGACAGCTATGATCTGAATGTATACGGATCCCATTTTTACGTTTTAAAAATTTTAGTGAATCTACCGGCAAAGATGCCAAAAGAACGAAGAAAATGTTTACGTTAGAAACCGGGACACGCCTGCGCTGTGGCTTTGAAAGCCTGGCTGGGAGGGAATCTGCGCAGCACAGGGCCCTGAGGGAGCAGGGGACTCCCCCAGCCGGTGCTTCTCAGAGCGACAGCAGTGGCTGCGTGGCAGAGGGGACAGAGGATGATTGACACTGTCGCCTTACTGTGCTCTCCGGGCTTCAATTAAAGAGAGAAGCACTGTTTGAAAATCTGGCCCATAAAGTCACCTTGTCATTAACACGCTTTTGACCGGTCTAGGCTAGAAATAACCCTGACTGGCCCTTTCCGAAAAGTGCGCACCGTCCGCAGCTGGACCATCGCGCAGGGTTTGGGGCAGAAGCCACTCACCAGAAGGGTGATCAGCGCCACCGCGGTCCCGAGGTGCCAGCCCATCGCCGCTCTTACATCCAGGCCCGGAGCCTGCACTTCTTCTCTCTCCGCTTCCTTCCTCCCGCTGGGCCTGGCTGAGGGAAATCACAGCTCAGTAGGTGTTCTTTCATGCAGGCTGTGAGGTGTTTCTGCCTTTGCTGGGAGAAGGACCGCAGGTACGTATAACCAGTCTGGATCCCCACCCTAAAACTTGGGCTGGTCTCTCTAAAATGCTTGACAAGATCATCATCGCTCGCAGGGAGAAGCTGCGGGACACACCCTCCTCCCAGCTGTTCAGGGAGGACAGGGACTGCTTGCTCCTCCCTGCAGGGTGTCTGTCTGAGGCTGGCACTGAGCAGGCAGAGGCAGGAGGGAGTACAGCATTGGCAGGGGCTTCCACCCTCAGCTCTACCCACAGGCTGCGGACTCCCTCCCTCCTGCACCAGAAAGGCAGTCTGCTCTGGATGTAAGCGCCCATTCCTCAGAGGGACCGTGTGCCCATGCTCCTGGCCAGACCCACAGGCGCAGCAGAAAACCTTGAACTTCCCCTTTCTGTGGATGCTGGAGATAGTCAGTCACTTTCAAAGTTCTCTGTGGGGCAAACAGTTTGCCCACGTGGAGAGTGAGAGTTACTGGAAGCATCAGTTCCCACAAGCACAACCGTGATACTTACAATTACCAGGTCCTCTGCCTGCAAGCGGCCAGCCTACGTCCAGGGCAGCCTCTGCTTTCTCTCTGAATGACTCTCTTCTCTCCCCAACACGTTTTCTCTCTTTCAAGTGTTGCCTTTTTCAAGCGGGGTAAAAACCAGTAAACTCTCAGGGTCAGAGGAAAATAAAGCAATAAACCCTCTCATTAAAGTTGTGTTGGTAACTTTTTAAGGGAGGACCAGTGTCTGGCCTGCCAGTGGGAGTGCAGAAAGCTGCTCATCAGGTGAGGTGGGTGAGAAGTCAGCGCGGTTCCCAAGCTCAGAGCCAAGGACCAGGGGAGCGAGCCAATTAGAACATGGGGAGCGCACCGCAGAGCAGCTGCCCACACATGCAAATGGGGACCCAGCAGCCTGCGGTTTGAGGAAATAAATAGCAACCCTCACAAGGCAGCGCTTGACAGCATTTCTGGGAGATGCACTCTGCACCCCGTGACGTTCAGGATGCATATTGTGAGCGGCAGGAGGCGATGCGATTTGAAGAGGCAGTTTGGGCAGAAGAGTGATTGGACTGGATAAAAGTTGGTGATGATCAGAGGATGCTAGAAATGTTCTCGAAAGGAGGGCTAGTCGAGCTTCTACAGAACACGGTCATTCCATTCAAGGCTATAAAGTTTCAATTATAGAAGATAAATAAATCCCAACAGAAATGGCTGCTGCCACAGAGCGAGCAGAAGGCTTGGCTCTGCCCCAGGCTATAATTGTAGAAGATAAATAAATTGTAGAAGATAAATAAAGCCGGATACCAGGGCCTCCACTTGGGTCACCGGGGTGTGTGACTGGCCTGCAAACCATCACAGGCCCCTTGCCCAGGCTGCCCCATACCCCAAGGGCAAACCAGCTGGCCCCCACCCATGCACCAGGCCTCTATCCTATCTAATAAAAGAGTAATATGCAGATTGACCATCACTCCAACACACAAATTGGCTGCCCCCATGTGGTCAAAGATCCTGCCTCCATGTGGACACAAGATGGCCACCGTAAGATGACTAGCAGAGGAGGGCAGTTGGGAGGGACCAGGCCTGCAAGGGCAGTTAGGGGTGACCAGGCCTGAAGGGAAGGGCAGTTAGGGGTGACTAGACCTGCAGGGGAGGACAGTTAGGGGCAAACAGACTGGGCAGGGAATCAGTTAGGCATCAATCAGGCTGGCAGGGGAGTGGTTAGGGGCAATCAGGAAGGTAGGCAGGCGAGCAGTTGGGAGTCAGCAGTCCTGGATTGTGAGAGGGATGTCCAGCTGCCCGGTGGGATGGGGCCTCCCTCGAGGCGTCCCAGATTGGAGAGGGTGCAGGCTGGACTGAGAGACACCTTCCCCTTCCCCCCCCACCTCCCCATGCACGAATTTCATGTGCCGGCCCCCTCTCAGGAGGGGTCTGCAGGGGCTGCTGGTATAAGTAATAAAATAAAAGGAAATAGGCCAGATTTCCTATTAGTTGAGAAAGGCAGAAGATGACTGTCAAGATATAAAAAAATTAAAAAAGAAAAAAGAAAGTGTGTGTCCAACAATCACCTGTCCGAGCAAATATTAGCAGGAAGATTGTACGCCCAGGAACAGACAGTAATTAGGGGTGATTGGGCTGGCAGGAGAGGGCAGTTGGGGATGACCAGGCTGCAGGAGAGGACAGGGGTGACCAGGCCTGGAGGGGAGGGAAGTTGGGGACGACCAGGCTGGTTGGGGAGGGCAGTTAGGGGTGACCAGGCTGGCATGGAAGGGCAGTAAGGGACAACCAGGTCGGCAGGGGAGCAGTAAGGCATTGATCAGACTGTCAGGAGAGTGGTTAGGGGTGATCAGGCTGGCAGGCAGAAGCAGTTAGGGGCAATCAGGAAGGCAGGCAGGGAGGCAAACGTTTGAGAGCCAGCAGTCCTGGATTGTGAGAGGGATGTCTGACTGCCCTCGAGGGGTCCCAGATTGGAGAAGGTATAGGCTGGGCTGAAGGACACCTGCCTCCTCCCTCCCCCTCCCCATGCACAAATTTTGTGCACTGGGCCTCTAGTTAACAATTATAAAATCTAAATGACAATATATGGTTTTCTCTTTTTATATATTTGAAAAAAATTATAATAAAAATAAGAATAATGGACTAACGTACTGGTTGGCAAATTATAGCCATACCTAACTCTGGCTCATGGCCTGTTTTTTTGTTGTGTGAATGTTTTTTAACACAACCATGCTCATTTCTACACACACATGCGTGTGTCCCAGGGCCAAAGCAGAACTGAGACGTCATGCCAGAGAGCATGTGGCCTGCACAGCTGAAAATAATGACTTCTCTGACCCTGAACGCAAGTTTGCTGACCCCTGGACTGGATGAATAGTTATAACTTGTCATACAAAATATGACTCGTTTGTAAATTAATCTATTTTAGGAGAACTGATAAGATTAACCAAAAGAGTGTGAATAGAAATCATGATGACTGAAAGTAACCACTAAAACTGAAAGCAGCTAATCACCGAGGAAAAGATACATTTTCATAACCAAATTGCATTTTTAGCTTTGCATTTCCAGAGAGACTTTGTTGAATTGACTAGGATAAGCTGCAGCCTAACTCTTCTTCCTTTCACACCAGATTCCAAGAAAACCTTCATTTCTTTCTCTCCAGTCATTTCTCAGAAAAAGAGTTCACCCTTGTCTCCTCTTGGAGTAGTTTTCTCTACATTGAAAGAACATTCCTGAGTGGGAAAAATCTCAAAAGGTTTGAGATTATTTTATGATAATATACAAGTAATGAGAAAGACAAACTATTATTGTCTGTTCTTTTAAACAATTATTCCAATTGAATATCCCTTGCATGTTTATGACTGTGATTGATGCTGTGGAATAATCAAAATACTGTTGAACTCTGCCCTTAATGATATCACGCTGCAGCTGCAAACGCTCTGAGAAGGAAGTGACACTGTTCCCCGTGGAAGGCTCCCCGGTACGTTTGCTACCCTTAGATTGCAAGCGCAAGTTCTTCCTTTTACTTATAACAAACGATCATCAGCTCAGCTCTACCCTTTTTTCTCTGGCCCACTGTCTGCCTGGCTCTGTGCCAGGGACTAGTGATAAAGATGCATGCGCCATGGTGGAGTGGCTCCAGCTTCGCTGAATGAAAGAAGCAGGCTTTCCCCAGCTTGCTAGATGGAGGCATGCAGAGGGCTCTGGGCCCGCAGCCAGCTGTTGGTGCCGTCAGATCGATCTTATGTGGCAAATCCGTGAATAAGGTCATTTGGGTCGATGTCATTTCCTGAATGTTGATGAGATGCTGTAGGAACTTAACTCTTGTTCGTATCCATCAGCCTATGGTAAACTTGATTTTATGATACGTCATCTCACTTAAAGTCGCAGGACCTATCCATGATGCTAAGTGAGAACTTACTGCGCTGTTAAAAGTTGCATGATGGAACTGATTTCTAAATGCTGGGTTTCTCCTTCCCTTTGTTGCTGGTCTTCCCGTCTCGGCTGTAGCTCTTCTCCTGCTCCTCCCCCCGTGGCGCTGCGGGGTCACATCCTAGATGACCCCTCATGCTCTCCTCTGGATTTGTTTGTATTCATTGTCCAGAAGGGTATTTCGGAAACATTGCTTTCCTTATATCACACCTCTTCTCCGGCAAGCCATAGTAAGTCCTTATTTCCTTGCAGGTCAAAATATCTTCATCTGGCGACTCCTCCTGTGATTTGCCGTAGCAGGTGGAAACAAACCACAATCACATCCTCCGTCTTAAGGTTTTCCGCCATTTCCTTTCATTTCTGAAGAGCCTGATTTTGATGATGGAAATACCAGTATGTTTTAGGATAAGGTATTGATCGATAGAGTATTTTTCCTTTAAGGGTTGTGTGTACAGTCGATGCGCGGGTAAAAGGTTTCCTGCATCATTTTCAGAAGCTGTTGTTGACAGCGGTTTTAAAAATTCAATTCCACCCTATTAGGGATTGTGCTATTATAGTTGACAGGAGAGAGAAAAATCGGTAACAGAAGTTTCTCTTTACAAAGACTATACTCATGATTGGATCTCAGAGAGGTGAGGAGTCTGTTCTCTGTGACAAGGCTTACTGAGGCACGGCTGCAGGAAAGGCCTCTGTGTTTGATGGTCCTGCTAAAGGAAAGCCATATCCACCTTGAGGACACTGGAGAAGCCTTCGTGGAAGAGGTGGATGTTGACATTTTCAGGATGACTACATTCTCAACAAGTGAAAATGTAGATGGAAAAGAAGGCAGAAAGCAATATGCAAATTAAGGCCAGAAAGGAGTCAGATGGGACTTAAGTGTCGCGTTTGAGAGACATGGCAGTGCCCATGAGTTAGCACACGTGGAGGAGGACAGTGGATGCGCTACTGAG